TCAGATTGTTTGTCATGCTAGCACTTAAAGAACAGGTTAGCCTATTGCTGGGACTGACGGTACAAATCTTAAACGGATTTGCACATCATCCTGCTATCAGTTTTGGCCTCATTTTTGCTTCTCTCCCAGCTGAGCATCGCACTCTCTCCTGCAACACGAGCACAAACCCTAACACGCAGAAGGTAGAGGCCTTCCTTTCAGCACGTGGACCCCCTGTTTAGTATTCCTGCCATGCCTGTTCGGTGGAGCAGCATTAAATTGGGATCAGGCAGATTAGAGTATAATATAGACGACTATTAAAGGCTGCAAATGGGAGCCGGGGGTTAGAGTCTGAGCAGTGGCCTTGCCTAGCCATATGCTAAGCTGTGCAATTAGTGCTTCCACACACGTCTTTACAAATGATGCAAAGTAAAATAAAAAATACCAATGATGTTCAGAACAGGATCCTTTTTTTTTAAAAAAAAAAAAAAAACAGCAGTCACTAAGTTAAAAGGGCAAATTTCAACAGAGGTCATCGTTACATCATTCGATCCGCAGTTAGTTCTTTTCAGCTTTATGGACGCTTAGTTCACCACATTATATATTATTCAGATCAACTCTGTTTATTCCAAATGCAATACAATCCCAATGAGATCTAGTGATGGACAGTGGAAGGAAGTCAGTTAATTATGTAATGCTAATGCTAATTGTTGAAATCGCTTTTAAGCTAACAGCAGGGGAAAAAAAAAACAAAAAAAAACAACACAATCCATTCAAACGAGCCAGAAGGACTAACAATGAAATGAAGAACGATGAGGTTCGTATTTATTGGCATCAACATCTGCATTGGTAGGTGGTGCTGTAAATTCAAGTTCTTCCGCCGGATGAATTTTGTCATTTTATCTTTTTGAGTTGACATAAATCATAAGCTTCATGTGTCCTGGTTAGCTAAATTTTGCAGAAAATAACTATAGTTAATCAATTTGGATATAAAAGTTTCTGCCATGTAATCTCCATAGAGTGTTCATAAGTCACAATCTCTCTTACGAAGCGCTGCGGAACATTTTCTGGACAATGATGCCACGACTCCGTCCTAAAAACAATAAATATTATGCGCTGCCATATAGCAGTTGGTAATTGTAAATTGCAATTACAAGTATTTTTAGAGGTAATTGTAACAAAATACAGTTACTTATACATTCCAATTAGATCACATGATGCTATTAAACGTATTTATGCGTTAATCCTAACTCTGGCTGGAGTGGCGTTAACCTGAGTGTGTGAGACACAAAGCAGATGCAATCGGGTAATTCTGGTTCTGCTTTTATTGTGTTAAAATGTACAGGTAGTTTTGATCGTTTAGCAGCATCACATGCCCTGAGGAAAATCCTGAACATGTTAAGCAAGGTTCTGCTGGAGATCTTTGAAAAGATATTGAAATGAATTGGATATGATTGAATGACAGCACCTTCAAAGTGTCTCCTACATTCCCACCTTAAGCTTTTTGCAGGAATGTCACTCACATAGACATCAGACACTCTAATTGTCCATATCGCTTGGATAAATGTACAGCATTTCATTTGAGCAGAAAACGACTGACATCGACGAATACCATCAACACTTGAAATTTACTACTTTGTTTTCTGAAAAAGTTAATATAAAATGTGAAAATCTTCATCAGGTGATAATGAATTGACGAATCGTTTTTTTTTTTTTTTTTTTTTTTTTTTTTTTTTTTTTTTTTTTTTCCCCTAAATTTTTTTTT